TCTGAGGTGGGCGGTGAAGGGGCGACCCGGCCCCTCGGCACCTCTGCGTTAGAGCCCCCTCCTCCTCTGCAGGCTCCTCCCACCCTTCCTGCTCCAAAACACGCTTCAAACGGATTTTCCACCTTTCTCCCTCTAAATTCAGGACGTAGTTCAGAGAGGGTTGCAATGAAATTCTTCTCATTTTGGAGAGGCTTACTATTTTTAAGAAGTTCAAAAGTTTAGGCTTCCGCAACTGACTAGTGATTAACATAGTCAATGTTTATTAAATCATAAATCACAGTGAATTATAATTTAATAATGACTTATAAATCCATATGAATATCCTCTTTCTTGAGTTCTGTGATCATCGTAACCTCTGAACTGCTTATAAACCTGGACTTTCTGTGGAAGAAATGGAGGGTACTAGGGGTGTGCTTCAGGAGAGGATGAAATAGAAACTTTAGGACTGGAGCTGATCACAGATCTGTAATGCATCACACAATAAAGGAGGGCGGAGGAACTTTGGGAAGCCAGAGGCTGGATTTACCCAACCAAATGGGACCAAGTGTCCATGAGAACTTGTAATGGGGCATCCTGTGTTGCCGTGGCTTTGCTGCTATTGTATAAGTTGAAGCTGACAAGGTGCAAGGGCTCTTTCTTGTTTTGTTTTTCAGTTGCTTCAAATTTCCACATCAGGAGCAGAACCACGTCTAGGAGGAGGGCCTCTTGCTTATTGTTGTTATTGAAAAAATTGGCTTTTAACACTTACTGAACTGCAATTTCCCTGGAGCAGTGGTAGTCCAGGGAGCTGAAGGCAGCAGTTATATTTCCTATTGCCTTCTGTTTCCACCCTCTCTGCAGGCTGCACAAATAGGTGTCCTGGGCTTTCCTGCTCTGTGCTGTACTCCAACCTGCTGATTGACTCTCCTGCTGATAGGCCTCTGAAAACCTGAAGCATTTCATTCTTAACTTTCTTATTGTAAATTGCTGTTTTTATTGAATGTCTTTGATTGTCTTCCCTCCTGCAAGATGTACTATTCATTTTTCAGATCACAATTTCTTATTTCACACTGTTAACCAAAATACTACCTTTTTTAGTAGGAGATACTCAGTGATGTATGCCATGATTTGTCTTGCAGTGGAACAAATAGGTTGGTAGAGAGGAACAGTATGATTTCTTGACCTGTCCTGAGCTACAGTATAAGAACTTTAATGCTACAGATGTAAGAATGAACTGGTACTGTGATCCAGTTGGGAGCCTACCTTTGAATGTCACGTAGAGTCCCATGTATTAAGTCAGGAGATGAGGTAGTGTAGCACTTGCACTCTGTATTTAGTGGCTTCTGAATTACAGGACAGTAAATGATATCACTACAGCTCTATTTTAACCTCTGATGGAGGTTCCATCTATAGCAAAAATGCTTTAAAGACCTTTATTGTATGTATATCCCTTGATAATCCTCAAATAAAAAGTATCACTTCCAGGTGCCTGTTGAGTGGAGCAGAAAAGCTTTGGAAGCAAGCAATGCAACATAATAGTTTGTGGTCTTAAAGGTTTTATTCTGGAAGCATGAAACTAGCTTGTCCTCACCAAGGTGCAAAGCTCTCTGCAGAGGCTTTGAGGCAAGCTCTGGTGGCTTAAATGAGAAAACTGCTGTATGGCTTTCTTCTACAAACGGAGTAAGAGGAGGCTAAAGGGTGCAGAGAAGCGAGTGTTGCTGCTGAACAGCTGATTTGCACTGCAGAACTGAAGTTTCAAGTGAGCTTGTTTTGTTATGTCTCTAAGATGCACTCATAATCAAAGGCCAGGAAAAGAGTACCAAGACTTTTGTTCTTTAATGGAAGAGCAGCCCCATGACATGAAGTTAGACTTTCTTTTCTGAATGACCAGAAGAGCAAGGAAAATTGGGGTTTGCTGTTCTCCTGCCTTATGTCACACTTAATGTCAATATACACCACATACAGGCAAGGTAATGCAGGTAGCATTTCAGACTAGTGACCTGCGATGAAATGGTGCTTATGCTAAAACAACTGCTTCCAAAGTACCAGTGATGAGCTTTGGCATGTGCTGTTTGGTCTCGGCTGAATTCAGGTGTGATAGTTTCAGAATTAGTTTTTCTTGTGAAAATGGAAGTGTTGATGCCTTTTACAAAGCTGATAGGAGTGCATGGGGCTGCACAGGTGCTGAACAGTTCAGCTGGAAGCTAGTCATGAGTAGCTCAAACTTCTTGGTCCCATTATTCTAGTACATCAAATCTTCTAGAGTTGATTTGTGAAGGGGAGGGGAAAAAGAAAAATCAACCATTCACTAACAGAATGTTGTTTAATTCTTCCTTAGCTTTCCTTGGGAATGCTTGAATTCGACTCCTACACAGTATATTCAAAATACTGTTGTTGTTTTAAATTGGTCTTGAACTGGTACTAACAACAGTACAAACATTGCTCTATAGGCACAGATGGTGTTTCCATATGTTGAGTGCAGACAGCTTTCAGAAAGAAACAGCTGATAAATATTCAAGGCAGATAGAATAATATATTGTAGATACACATGAACATTGTAGAGCATTCTCTTATCACAGCCTGAAGTGTAAGCATACATAACTTGCTGGAAAGTTTATTCCATATCATACAGTACTTGGTAACCTCCTGAAAATGGTTGAGATTCTTAAGCACGTTATATAGGGTCTGGAGAACTTGCCACAAGGATTTAATGCTTCTGTCAAGCTTCATTTTGGGCAAGATTTAGTCCACACTGACCACTGGAGATTGAAAGGGGTGTATGTGTGTGAAGAGTTATGCTCCCTATGGAACTACTTCTGAATTAAAAGGGCACTTGTGTAAGGGAAGGAACAGCCATTGTGCTGGGCAGGTCAGCCTGTCTGGATTTAAACTTTCATGTATAGATCAAAAAGTCGAGAGGTTAAAGACTGAACCTTGCATTGTTTTTTGAACACTTGCTTTCACAGCTCTTGAGTGTATTTGTAGTATGTGCCCCACCTAACTTCCTTCAGCTGTTCTCCCTGCTGCAGAGTACTTCCCTTTCCTCTGTGACTTTTCCTCTCCCCTTTCTGTTTCCACAGCAGTCAGGACTTTATGAGTATAAAGTCTTCGGTGGTCTTGCTGACTGTCCCCCCAAACTCTGTGTGGATGTCTATATGGACTTAGATTTCAGAAAACAATGGGATCAGTATGTTAAAGGTAAGCTCATCTAAGCAGTTTGAACTCAAGCTTTATGTCCACATTGACTCTTCCTGCTAAAACTTTCTTCAAAGGTAGTTTAAAGTTGTTTCATCCAAAGACTTTGGGCCAGATTCAAGTATCTTTTGGGATAAGATTGCACTCTACAAATATACGAGTAAACATTGACATGGAACAATTAATATCACCATATAGTTTGCTTCTGGAATTAATCTTTCCATATTGATTAAAGCATATAATTGGCGTCACTCGTTTACTGGAGCACCTTGTAGCTTTTAGTTGTTGTAATGCCTAAGTTTTAGTAGATGTTCTGGAGAGAAATGGAGATTGTACCATTTGTTCATCTTTGCATATTGCAGCAGAGCAGCGCAGTCATAGAATCATAGAATATCAACTTGGAAGAGACCTCAAGGATCATCTGGTCCAACCTTTCTTGGTAAAAGCACTGTCCAGACAAGATGGCCCAGCACCCTGTCCGGCCAAATCCAGAAAGTGTCCAGTGTTGGAGAATCCACCACTTCCCTGGGGAGATTATTCCCATGGCTGATTGTTCTCATTGTGAAAAATTTTCCTCTGGCTTGCACCAGTTTGATGTGGGATGGAATGTCCTTTTCTGAAAGCACTGGTGGTTCTTAGCACCCTTTACAATCAGAAATGGGTATATCAAGAGCACAGTTGGTGACTGGGGGTTTTTATAGAGAAAGGAATAACTAACTCAGTTGGTTTTTTTTTTTACTGTTGTTTTTGAAAAAGGGAGTTGAAACTGGATATCCAGATGATGTTAAAACATCTTAAGTCAGCAGTGACAAGGCAAGGATTCAGCTGATGTAGGCATCCAGTAATCAATTTATTTTAAAGATGAGGAGCCTTTTTCTTACAAGCCTGTGCTTAACATCATTTCAGGCCAATAACACTGAAACATGGTCAGTGTTTTGCTGAACAAAGAACAGTGTTAAAACCCAAAGAATTGTTAGATGTACTTGTCAAGGCTAGGACAGCTCTGTGGTGAACAGTTCCTGGTAATGCCTTTGGCTGTACTGATACAGAGAATCACATATTTGACTGATCTCAGTATGTGGTCAAGCTCAAGAAGCTTTGTTTTCATTAGTAAGTGTTGTCAAAATGGGCAATAGCTTGCTTGTAGCAAAGGCTGCTTTGCCTTTAATAAACCGAAAAGAGCTGGAGTGGGACTGAACATTATCATGCTGGATATAAAAATAGTGTGTTATCTTGAGTTACTTCAGTAGGTTTTGATTGAAGTACATTTAGGACGACTGAATCTTTCTTAAACAAATACTTTTTTTTTTTAATGCCTTCTTAGAGAAAAGAAAGGAAGCAGTTGCGGGAAGCTACACCCTCAAACTAAAAACTAGATAATGTTGCAGAGCTGGCCTTTATATCCTTGCTGGCTATGATATATTCATCTGTGACTTTATACTTCAAGTCCAGTGTTTCACAGAAGTTAACTCATGAATGGCATGAATGTAGCGTTTACACTTCACTTACAGCTAAAAAATTGGTCCAAACTCACCCATTCTTTAGAACTGTACATATGATGAAGTAGTGCTAGCCAACAACAATATAAGCTTGAGTTTTTTACTCCTTTCACATTTAGGGAAAAAAAAAAGAAAGCTCCCATTCAGAGCCTTCTTGCTCTTTGTTGTACTGTTTGTATTCCTTGTTGCTCTACAGCTGTGCAATAATAGCAATCCAGAGAAGAGTTCTCTGCTGAACTGCTGGCTGCATTGGAATAAAACCATGCCCAAGTAGCTGCCTTTTTAGTTGAAAAGGTAACTGATCCTGCACTAAGCATAAGAGGAGCTGATCTCTGTCGCCTGGTTGCGTTCAGTGGCAGTCTTTATGAAGGCCTCACTGGAGGCAGATACATGACCAAAGGATCGTGCTTTGATCTGTTCTTGCCAAGGGTTTGCTTGAGGCCTCAGAAATTTTGGTGTCAGTGTGCCACAGTTGTTGCATTGCTGTTAGTACCCTGACTTCCAGAGCTGGCTTCTGGATACCTACAAGATGTGGCTATCCCGAGGCCTGCTCTGCGCTGCAGCTGCCGGTTCACCAGCTGTGAGAGCACTCTGAAGCAGTGGCTGAGGTACCACATGCTTCTGTGCCATGATACAAAATGGTTGGGCTTGAGCAATATCGAAACTTGCCACTCCTGATGGCAACACCATCTTGGTAATAGCTGACCCCTGAAGCAGCAAATGCAGCTGTACTTACAATGAGTAAACCAGACTTGTGCTCTATTGTGGTAACGCTGAGTGAAATCTGGATATGAATTAAAATGCACTTAATTCTGCTTTGATCAGAAGCGATCCACTAGTGTTGACAGATTAAAGTAAATACAGGTGGGAAGTAGAATCACAGACTGCTTGGGGTTGGAAGGGACATCTAAAGGTCATCTAGTCCAGCCCCCCTGCAGTGAGCAAGGACATCTGCAAGGAGAGCAGGTTGTTCAGAGTCCCATTCGACCTGACTTACCTATTATGTGTTTTTCCTGTGTTTGCAAAGATACAACGGTAGGTGGGTTAGTAGCAAACATACGCATCGAGGTCTTCAAAATAGTGTCTGAATCCCTCTGAAGAAGGGAAGCTGTGCAGTTGGGAAGGAAAGTCCATCTGGCAGAGCAGTGCTTCAGTGACCCCTGGTGGGTAGCTGGTGCTGTAGCGTATTACAGCACCCCGTGTTGTGCAGCCGGTACTGCTCCAGCCTAGCCGGTTTTGTGGGTGACAGCTGACTTGCAGGACATACTAACAGAAGCCTAGTTTGGAATATGTTATGCAGGGAAAGAATCTCCCATCTGTGGCACTCTTCTTGCCCTAGCAATGAGAATATCAGTCTGTTCTAGCCGTATTTTCAAAACCACTGCAAGTGATGTGACACATGAGCTCTGAAGGATATATAGCCTCTGAGGCAGAATTCTGCTCTAGAGTAGGAAAAACCCACTCTGACTGTTAATATGAACATCCTTTTTGGATCACAGCATCTTTAACTGCACCCATGTAATGACCAGTCCCTAAGCAGACAGGAATTTACCCTGGCTCAGCCCCACGGCTTGTCAGGCCTATTACCCTGGTAATGGCAGTTATTTCCTCAAGGCAGAATCTGTACAGCAGACAGTTTTACAAGCTCAGTTATGTAGTTTGATTTGGGCTATTTTTTCTCCTTTATGACACGCTACTACCTGACTGAGTCACTGCCATGTTTTAGGGACTATTCTTAGATATTTTTTTTTCCTATTCAGTTGCTTTCTGATGGGGTTTGCAGGCAGACTGAAAGTGGTGTAATGAAGGCTTATAGCTGCTCAAGCTTCTTGTTCACTTTTGCCTGTATGTGCTGCTGTGAAATTCCTGAAAGCTTTTCCAAGCTTCATTAATCCTCATGTAAGACTTCTCCAGGTATTAGAAAGTAGCATTCGTCTCAGTTCCATGTTAACTCAGAGTCATTTACAAAGATAATTACATGCTTGTGAAAAAGTATACTGTACTTGTGGCTCAGAATTGTATGAATATGCATAGGCAAGGAGAAAGCTTAGAGATGGAGAGGCTTTGAATGAGCTAACTGTCTGAAAAGGAATTTGGGTCTGAATGTTCTGGGTTTGTTTTGTTTTTTTTTGTTTTGTTTTGGGGGCTTGGGGTTTGGTTTGGTTTTGTTTTCATCAATGAATTCAATAGCAGCAGGCCACCTATTTTTGTGTATTTGGTTCCTGAACTGCCCTACTACAGAACGTTTTTTAATGTCTTCTACTGCTCCAACTTTACATACATACTAATTTTGATATAAGGGTCATGTGTAAAATGTATTCATGTCAGAAATCTGAGCAGTTCTTGATGCCGTGTATGATTCTGTTACAGCAGAAATTTAAAATATCTAAGAATCTTCCTTTTTCAACTGCAGAACTGTATGAGGAAACATATGATGGTGAAAAAGTAATCTACTGGGAAGTGAAGTACCCTTTTCCTCTCTCAAACAGAGATGTATCCTTTTAAGCTTTTTGTTCCTCTTGCAGTTTTTGTCACCTAGTCATCCAGGGATCCCAACAATGTACTGATTCTACTGCTCTCCTGCACTTGATCTAAGATTTTGCAGTCCTCAGGTTACTTGAATATGTATAGCATGAAGAAGAGTGTGGGTGCCTCTTCCCACACACAGCTAAAGCTCACATAGCTGAATTATTACTCTGCAGGTTCGAATGCTGTAGAAGGATAATCGGAGGGGCTGGTATTTGTGATGGAATTCACTTGTCAGTTCATCAGGTGTCAAAGTGGCACTGGTTTGACATGCCTCCTCAGCTCAGAACACAGTACGTCTATGTCCGGGAGTGCCGGGAGATGGACGTTGATGGGCGGAAGATCTGGGTGGTGTTAGCTCAGAGTGTGTCTGTGCCTCAGTGCCCTGAAAGGCCTGGTATTATCAGAGTTAAAAGCTATAAGCAAAGTCTGGCAATCGAAAGTGATGGCAACACTGGATCTAGAGGTAAGAGGTCAAGAAAGTGTGATTACAAGTTGTGTTGCCATAGCATGTATTTATTGGCAAAATGCACAAAGGAAGACTGGAAATTTTAAGCTAAAACAGTTGCTAAAAAGTGAATGTCCTGAGCAGTAGGAATACTTTAAAATGAATGAAACTTCTGGAAATTCCCAGTGCAGTATTCTACTGTTAAGGATCCTTTGTTTAACAATAGGGCTAGGTAGTTAAGAATAGACTCCTGAACAATTCATTTGGCTACCCCCATCCCATCCCATCCCCAGCACTTCTCTTCCTGCCAGCCAGTTCAGTGGGGCTGAGTCTGATGCTAGCTGCAGCCTGGTTACCTCAGAAATTATTGAAGTATCAAGTTTTGACAGATTTATAGATTAAAAGGTTTGTCTAGAGATTGACTCCTGTCTGAGATTAGTCCTTTAAAGACAATTTTATTTTGTAAGACAGGCTGCCTAAAATGGTTTGCGGAAGTCTAAATTAATATTATGGCACTCTCAGCTTCACAGAGGTTAACTAGGAATGGCTTCACTTACTTCATATTCCACTTCAGTACAAGCTGACCTTTTTGTGAAGAATTTAGGGCAGGACTGTTGTATGTGCTGATTCAGTCATGCTCACCGACAGCTTCTGTCAACGAGTGTTAAAACTGATACTCAGACTGCGGCTGGGTAACTCTGCTAACCTCTCTCTCATCTTCTCTAGTCTATATGTATTATTTTGATAATCCTGGTGGGATGATTCCATCCTGGCTTGTCAACTGGGCTGCCAAGGTGAGTAAAGGTTGACAGTACAACTGTCTTTGGCTAATCTGTTTCAAACAATGTATTTGCTGCATCCATTTGGTCTTCTGCATGTGGGTAGAATGATTTTTTTTCTGAAGTGGCGGTGTTGATGTATTGACCTTGTAGCTCTTACGTAGTCTAGAGTCTTGCTATTGTCTGGTTTTCTAGTTGGTTTTGACTTTTTATTTTTATACCTATTAGATTCCTTTGGTTAGTCAACCAGGTAGGTAAATTTGTGCAAAAAAACCCCAACAAATCCAAGTTCCAGAGTATATGTGAACAGCCCTAACACAAGCAAACTTCAATAATGCAGTCTGTTCATGAAGGGTTAAAGGATGTGAACAGCCCTAACACAAGCAAACTTCAATAATGCAGTCTGTTCATGAAGGGTTAAAGGAAAGTTCTGCTGCTTTGTACAAGATTTTAGAATTTTCCTGTATTTGTTTGAAGGCCTTGATCTATATAGTGGGAATTATCATCTTGCTTGTAATTTTTCTTGATTATGTTACGCAAAAATGACTTTTCCATTTTTCTCTTTACAGAGTGGTGTGCCTGCTTTCTTGAAGGATATGCAGAAAGCTTGCTGTAGTTACTCTAAGAGCACATAGGTTGAAGTTGTTCTTAATTGTTTAATTCCTAGAACTCTGCACTTACAGAAGTGGCCATTATATATCACACTGGATAACATCTACCTCTAATATTGGAAAGAATTTTATATTAATTGGTTTATGCCTTGCATTTTATTAGATCTTTATTTCCCTCTCCAACTGAACAGCTAACCACTGACAAGGTAACACCAACATCAGTTGCATTCTTCGGAAAGTCCTTCAGTTTAGCCATGTCCCCCTTGCTTTGCTTGTGCTGATTCTCATGTGTCAGCTAGAGGAGTTCTGTTGATTGAAGTATTACATCCTGGGACAAGAGACTATGATCCTACTAGGACAAATGTCTGAACTTGGACTGAAAATCCTCTGCATGTGTTATACCTGGATCTCCCTTTGTGGCCTTGCAGGGTGGCTTCCTACTGAAATTGCATAATGGAACTTGCATTGCTTGGGAGGAAACAAGTTTGCTACCCAAGATTTTAGTTCTTAAACCATACATTTGCTATAAACCTGAAAAATGCTGAGGACATAGTGGTAAATGACTAAACTCTGCAGTAGGAACTGGAACTCAGTGTTGCTACGCTTCCTTGTGGTAGCTTTAAGTCCAGATATAGAGGAACCTGTGCCTAAAGCCTTGCATCATCTCAATACCCTTGTATGAAATGTAAAAGTCATTAGCTGTGTCCAGATGAAATTCCACTACTCCTTTTTTTCTATGTCCAATTTAAGGGGAACAAGTTCTATGTCCAGAGTCAGTAGCCTTGTCTATAAAGGAGCTTGCATACCAACTTGAAATTGGAAGTAATTTTAAACTGGATGCCTCTGCAACTCAATGTGAATGAACTTGATGTGAAACTTGGGCTTGCTTGCATTTTTTAAATTTCATGCTAATATAAAGAGTGAAACTGTAATTTTGGATGGTAATCCACTAAAAGCGCAACTGAGCAGGAAATTAGATTTCCAACACCTTTTTTTTGGCAGAAGGGATGCGAAGCGGTGGAGAGGATGGAGTGCATAAAAGATGAGAGGGCCTCAGTCTCAGGGATTTAAAATATTCTGCATCGTTGCTGAAGCTGATCCTGGTACTGAACAAACCTTGTAATGCGGGAGCTTTGTGTTATCAAAAAAGAAACAGTTGAAGTGATTGCCTTTATATTTTGTGTAAATAATTGTTTCCAATAAATCGTTATTCTCTCTGTGCAGTGCTCTTGTTGGGTCTCCCACATTTTAGGAGTGGCCATGCTGGCAGGTCACAAATGACAGGCTGATATCATGAGCTGCTTTAATTTTAAAGGCATTTGAAAGAATAAATTTGATTCATGAGAAGTAGGATTCCATGTGTTCTGAAGAGCTTGCTGCTGTAGTTTAGGCATTTGTCAAGTGTCCAACTTGAAGACCATTGGTGACTTGAATGTTACTGTGCTAGAAAACTTTCAATCAACTTTAAACTTAGCCGTCACTTTTTTCCTCAGTAGATAAAGAATCTGATGCATAATTGTCATCATAGCTCTGATGCATAATTGTCTTCAACTTCCCATAATGTTTTACACAGCCAAATCTTTATCTAGTACCAAAAATTAATTATGTCCATCATACCAAGAATATGATGGTTTTACATGAGTATATTCATTATAGAGTTTATTTTTTTTTTGTCAGTGTTTTAAAAAATTACCTTGAGAATTCAGAAAGCAGTGTGCTAAGTGTGTAGGAATTAAAATGTCATAAGCAATCAGAAGAATACCAGAGTTGGTTTTGAACAAAAGGATGTGGGTACAAGTTCTGTCCTGAAGCAAAGCAGCAAAGGAAGAACTAGGTAGAATGCTCAAAAAGAGAAGAGCAACATCAACTATTCTAGGCTTGATATAATAGAATTTTAAAACGGCACTAGCTAACAAGGAATCTTCTGGAATAATGATAGAAGCTAATTGATTTCCACTTCCTTCAGAACAAACCTGACCTCTGTAGCACAGTGGTACAAAACCTGTCCGTAGTTGTGAACCTATCTTAGAACTTAAGTGTTCCAAGGTTTACAACGAATGTGCACCTAGTGAGCTGAGTATGTGCCCAGAGATGAATTGTGTACAGATGTCGGTTTTTTCACCCTTTTTCTCCAACCAATCTGTAATTTTGTTTAGTCTTCAGTGAAATGAAAGCAGAAGAGTGAAAGCATTTTATACTCATAAATTCATAATTGTGTTTTTGTCTTTATGGTTATTTGTCATGAGGACACAGTGTACGTTTGTCTGCAGTGGGCTGAAGCAGGACTGAGCCTTTGAGAGGCTGAATGGCTCCATTGTCAAGCCTGCTGAAAACTCCATTTCCTACAGACCCCACACTGAGAGTTTAGAATACGTGGCCTTTGCTCTTGTATCCTTATTAAAACCACTGCACAGGCAGCTCCTTGTGCTGTACACAACTTTCCAAATTAAACCACATTTGATTAAACAGTAACTACTGAAAACAGCTTTTCCTCTTTAATAGCAACTAACCGATGATGTGAGATGAATGCAATATCAGATCTATTTAATTTAGGTCCCTGTGGGCTTTCATGGTGCCATAAATATACAGTGACACTTCAGTTTATCTCAGTGTGTGTTACTACACCTATCTTGTAATTACTAGGGAAGAAAAAGCAGTTCCAGGTTTGTGTGATGTGGCTTCTTGTCTAATTGAGAGATTATGACCAGAAAGAAAGTGTTGGCATTTTTCAGTCTTTGGGTGTCAAGACATTGATAAAGCATTTTAGAGCTTTATTTATGACTGATTAAATATTAACCTTCTATAAATTATACATGCATCATGTGAAGCTTTCTGGATAGTTTGAACAGAAATGTACCTGCTGTGAAGTTTGTAAGGCATTACGCATTACGAGTTTTCTTGTACACAGGCTTAAAAAAAAAATGGAACCTCCCTTCCCATGCAGCACCTGAAAGTCAGCTTTGTGTTTCCACCAGTTTGCCTAAAAATGGACTTCAAAGTTTGTTCTTTTAGAGTGATCTGTTCTAAAAATAGGGTTTTTTGAATAAAAAGAATGAAGCATTTGTTAGATGATGATGGAGCCTCTCATCTTGTATCAAGAGATTGGATGTATCACAGTACAGATTAATACAGACTAATGAAGTTTTCATAGTAGCCAAACAGAACTAGAAGAATGCTGTAGTTTCTGGCAATAAACAGGCATGTGATCCAAAGTGCAATAATCAGACTTTCCATAAATGATTATGAGCTTTGGATCTATTCTCAGGTAGAACTTCTGCTTTCAAATGACCAGCTCTTACAAAAACATATTTTTGCATGTTGTCCTTCACATAAAGAAGAGGCTGACTGGGCACCCATCCCCTGTTTCCATAGGGGATGATGTTGTAACAAAGTGACTCCAGAACATTCTGCCACACTGTGCTCTGGTCATTCAAATCTGTTCTTCCCATCTGATCTTTCTCTGTAAAACTGTTGTATTTGAATTGGAAGGTAAAGGAAAGGAAAGATTCTGAGTAACCCAAAGTCAACACAGTGGGTGATGTCAGATACGCGATCTCTGTAGGGCTGCCCCTCAGAAGATGGTGTGTGAAGGGAAATACAAGTTGTCTTTGCTCAGGAAACATCTGGCTGATACTTCATTTCTCTAAGCAGGTCATTGGCTGTTTTTATAATTTAGTGGAACAAAAATGTGGGAAGATATGGGGATAGACTTCTCATATTAGTGTACACTATAGATGATGTATCTTGTGACCAACACTTTTGCTTTCCATTAAGTTAGTTTTCTATGTATAAAGAACATTTTCAAATGGGATTTAGTGGTGTTTAAATTTCACTTAGCTGACAGTAATCTCTCCCTGAGCACAGATTTGCCTTCTTCTAGGCAGGAGGATAATTTACTGCCTCACTGTAGTCTTCTGATCAGAGACTACTAGACTTTCAGACAGGAAACCTTGGGGTTTTATTCATCTGTTAAAGGTTAAAAGACACTGAAAACTTCCATACAAAAACAAAGGAAGGCCTACGACCCAAGGTAAGTTGTTATAAATCCAGATGGCCTACAGATAAATGCTTCTGAGGAGCAATAACAAGAACAAATCTCTATAGCAAGATGAGCTTGGCTGAAATTTTTTCATACCACTCTGGCATAAAACTTCAGAATTAGGAGGAATCCTGACCAATAAGGTAAATAAAGCTGGTGTTTAAGCATCCTACTAATTCTTATCTGCAGCTGACAACTACTGTATTAATTAGGAATATATATGAACATATATGCACACAGAAAGAGAACATCATCTTCTGTTAGTTCAGTGTTCCCTGTTCTTTGAGAACTTGATGATAAATGATTGTTCTCATCTGGAACCTGAGTTGCAGAAGTATCCTGGAGTCCTGCTGTGTGACAGAATCATTTTAAATGGGAACAACTCTGCTGGAAACCTTAATTTCCCCAAGTAAGAACTGCATCCTGTGAATAAATGTTTCAATGGAACATGCAGTAATAAGTAATTACAGTGAAGAGCCTTGAATAATAGATATTCGTTTTAGCCTTGTGAAAATTTCCTGCATCCCAGCTGTGCATCTGGTTAAACTGAAAGCTGTTCCTACAGTTTCAGCACAAGTACCTGTAACACTACGACTTAAGTGAGTTTGACATTGCCTGTCCTCACTAGATTTCATGCAGATTTTTAGATTTTTCTAAAGCCTATTTCATCACTGGAGGCAGACAAGGTTTTATTTTTGCCCCAGGCATAATTCTCTTATTATTCTTCATCTATTGAAGAAAATCTTGAGAATGAATCATTTTAACAGATTGTGGTGTTCCTAAAATGTTAAGTTTTGGATTGTAGCAGTTCTTCTTCTATAATATGTGAGGCGAAAGGTTACCTGTATGCTCTACAATAGGTACTTTCAATAAATGCCTGCTGTTGTGACAAGACTCGCTGCATTTTGTGAATCTTGGTATCTTGAAAGGTTTTAAGTCTTTCCCTCTTCCACCTAGGCTGGTGGGGTTTTGGCTTTTAACATTCCAAGTGCATGTACATACTTTCCAAAGCACGATAGAAGTTGTGTGTAATTGGCTGCAAATGGATGTTCCATACTCAACTGCAACTCGGCGT